GTACATTTTTGTTTTACATACATGCTCTGGTCCCATTGTGTACTTAAAAGTGGGGTATTCCTGTATGTGTGTGTGTGTGTGTGTATTGAGTGGGAATTGCTAGAACAACACAATCCAACACTGTGGATATTTAGCTATTCTGAACGAAATGTGTTGATAGTAGTTGTAGCACTGACATCCTGAGCTACTACAAGTTCATAACAATACTCATTTTCCCTGTTATTTCACCTAGGTATTGCTATACCTGCCAGACGCATGTTCCCCCAAGATGCAATCATTGCTACAACTGCAATGTCTGTGTCCTTCGACGTGACCATCACTGTGCTCTTCTTGGACAGTGTGTAGGGCATTCAAACTATCGCTATTTTTTTTGTACCCTGTTTCATGGCTGGTTGGCTCTGCTTCTTGCGACCGTTCTTAATGCTGAGATATTTATGGAACTACTCAATGAAGGCATCAGCTTCCACAGCTTTTTCCTGCTTCTGATGCCTTGGATGATGCTAGTCACAGGTATGTGTATTTTATTCATAAAACCTATATGGCTATGATAAATGAAAAATAGATAATTTCCTAAAATATTATAGTTTGGTAAACCAGGGTGCCATGGTGATACCGATTGGGACCTGAAATAGAGCATTTATTTCTGTCCTGATGAGGAAAAAAACAAAACACTTCCTATGGCCTGTTCCACAAAGACTGTTAGTGAGCAAAAGCTGTCTCTGCGTTTTGAAACAGCAGGGACAGCTTCTGAGATCCCCACCTGTATAGTATATTGACTCACAATGCTGGGAGAATGGAACTTTATATCACCTTCTCTAAGCACTATGAGTATAAATGCTGTCTGGGAGAGCAAGGGGATCCCAGTAGCTGCCTTTGCTATTGCAGCACACAGAGACATCTTGTTAGATATCATGGACAGAATGTTGTATATTCCTATCTTCTCTTCGTACTCACTACTGACAAAGTGAACCGCTTGGGAAGACAAATCAGAATTATTTTAATTTTTTTTTCTTTTTTTTTCAATTTGAAATTTTATTTTCATAAAGACAAGGAAATGGTGTACAGAAGAGAAGGGGGAGCTTCAAACGTACATAGTGGGGTTGTACAATCTTTGCTATACATGTAATGACATATAACTTTAATCAAGGGGGGGGAACAGAAAGGAAGGAGGGGGGGGTGACACCCTTGACACAACCTAACATTTCTCACTTAGTATTTACACTGATATTGTGGTGTTTCAGTGGGTGGTGCGCGTGGGAGGGGCTCCTGGTGGTCGGGGAGTTCGCTCATGTAGCTACGTATGGTGTCGTTGTACTGAATTTTGTGAGGTCGGTTTGTTACAATATTGTTCAAAGTCCCCTATCTCCGGAGGGGGGGAGGGTGTCGCCGCTGAGCAGGGTGTCTGTATTGTGTTATGAGGTTATGAGGTTAGAGAGGGGGGGGGGCAGGAAAGTGGGGGGTTCCAGTGTATTGGAGGGCAGGTGATAGGTGGAAGGGGGTAGCAGCGTGGTACCGGTTTGCGGCTGCTGGTGGGTCCTAAGGTCACGACCTCTATGTTACAGGATAGTCTGGTAAGTGTGTCGGGAGATCGGTGCTGGTTTAAAGGGTGTTGTCCTTTTGGCAGCCAGTGCTGTGGCTTCTCTGTGGGCCTATGAAGAACTGTGTTGGTGTTGTGTGAGTTGTTGTGTGTAGTTTCGCCATATCGTGGCGGTGTAGGGGCTTAGTTTCCTGATTTTTGCCTGCTTCCACATGATGAGTTCGTACTCCATTGCCAGTGTCACTTCTATTTCAACTTCTCAGATGGAGGGCAAGTCCGCTGTTTTCCATTTTCTGGCTATTAATATGGACACCGTGCCCAGGATGAGGTATATCAATTTCTTGATCGGTTTTGGAAAGTCGTCTGGAAGCAATCGGAGTAGCATTGTTTTAGGGTCAAGAGCTAATTGGAGATTTGTGACATTCCTTATAAGTCGGGCTGTAGCTTTCCATAGATCTTGCACACTGTCGCATGTCCACCACATATGTATCATAGTTCCCTTAGTAGCGTGGCAGCGCCAGCATAGGTCTGGAGTGTCGGGGAATATGGTGTGCAGTCGGGTCGGTACCATGTACCATCGGTATAAGATTTTCCTGGATGCTTCCAGGTGTGCTGTACTTGTTGTCAGCCCTACATGAGAAGTGAAAATCTTTTCCCAGTCTTTTGGGGATATTGTGACTTGGAGGTCTGTCTGCCAGTCCTGCATGAACTTCCATGTGACGTTGTTTTTAGGGTTGGCAAGGTAGTCGTAACAGGTGGAGACCGTTTTCTTCGGGGGGTCTAGGGAGAGGCATTGCGCTTCAAATTTCGTTATGGATGATCTCAGTGAGTGTTCCATATCTGTGATTACGTTGTGGGTTATCAGTGCTTTGATTTGTAGATAAGCGAATGTGTAGTTTGGGGGTAGGGCAAATTCGTTCTGTAGGTCTGGGAACGTTTTGAGACCCTCCTTGGTGCACAGTTGGTAGACATGTGTAATTCCTTTTTCTTCCCACTTGTGATGTGGGAATGTGCCATTGCATTGGTGCAGGGTCCGGATTGGAGTTGCCAGGGCCCACGGGTGTGCTGAGCACAATAGGTCCCTGTAGGTGTCCCATATTGTAAGGAGGCGTTTGGTGGTGTTCAGCATGGTTGTAGGTTTCTGTCTTAAGTGCCGGGGTATCCAGAGCATTGTTGGCAGGTCCTGGTTCCCAGTATAATTATTCTCTATCACTACCCATTGGGGGTTGTATGTGGCCGAGTGGGCGCTGATCACATTCGTAAGGATGACGGAGTGATAATACGCTTTGATATTAGGAAAGCCCATTCCCCCATGTTTCGCATTCCTCAGCAGTAGTGATTTGGGGACTCAACGGTGTTTGCCGCCCCAGCTGAATCTGAGGAGGGTGGCCTGTAGTTTTGTGAGATAGCTTTGTGGGATTTTGATTTGTAGCGTCCGGAAGAGATGTAGAATTGTCATTTTCAATGCCGCTATTCTTCCAACCCATGATAGGTATAGGCCCTTCCATGTTTGCAGTTGGGTGTCTATATCTTTGTGCAGTTTTGCGTAGTTGGTAGGAAATAGCTCATTTTCTCTGTGGGTTATTTTGACACCCAGGTACACCAGATAGTCTTCCCTCCAGTCAAAGCAATGGCCGGATTTCAGGAGTGTTTCTATGTGTTTTGGTGTGTTGAGGCACATTGCTTGTGTTTTAGCCACGTTGAGCTTGTAATAAGACTGTTGGCTGTATGCGTGTATTTCTTTGTGCAAGGAGGGGAGTGTTATGAGTGGCTGTGTGAGTGTGAGGAGGATATCATCGGCGAATAAGCTTAGTTTGTATTCTGTCTGGCCTACTGGTACACCACGGATGGAATCATTGGACCGAATTGCTATTGCCAAGGGTTCCAAGGCTAACACATAAAGGAGAGGGGAGAATGGGCATCCTTGTCGGGTTCCATTTGTAATGGGGAAGGCCTGTGAGCTAAATCCCGAGGTGAGTACCGTCGCCCTGGGGTCACTGTACAGGGCTCTGACTGCAGAGAGGAAGGGGGCTGGGAAGCCGTAAGCCTGTAGGGTTTCCTGAAGGAATTGCCAGTTCAGGTGATCGAACGCCTTCTCGGCATCTAGGGATAGCATAACACTCGGTTGTTTGGTGTTTTTTAATATTTTGTATAGGTCCAGTACTTTCCTGGTGTTGTCAGAATTATTTGAATTTTAAGTAGCAGTATATGTGTGTTTGTGTCTAGATATATCATGCTTAGACCGACCATTTAATGGACCTGACATCTATAGAGGCACTTACATATAAGCAATTTAAAAAATATTACATTCTTCCCCAAAATGTTGCCACAAGTTAATAAAAATAATTTCCTGTACATGGTCTACCTGAAAGTAACATCTTATCATAGTGAGACTTGAAATGTGTAGAAAGATGTTGGGTATTGTACAGCTTGTCATACATTAGCAGTGCACTGGGTCTTCTTAATACTCATATTCATGTTTCGGACATTCTCTGTTCTATAAGAAAGGCGAAGCAGGTAAAATGGGCTGTCACTTAAGGCATGTGAATGGCTCCGACACGCCAAGTAATAAACTTCATATGTTGCTTCTCTCAAAGAAATAAAATATCCTTGACTGTACATTTAGTTGCACATAAATCCTGCAAAGCCGATATTTTTTTTGTTTTTGTTTGTTTTTTACCAAAACATTACCTGTCTATGGGGATGTTTTTATGAATTCATCAATTCATTTCAATAAATAATGTTATGGTATGATTCTGACTTTTTCAATGTTATTCACTTATAGTGAGAATTCAAGGTTAATTCAAAATGCATTTCAAATTTAAGGTGAAAATAGCTCCAAGAATACGTTCTGTCCGTTATGCTTTCAGTACAGCTATTCTTTGAAATTCACTTTGCATTCTTACTTTAGAAAAAAACTAAACGGTTTGTGTGTGTATATAAAATCATGGAATATTAAAATGATGTGTAGTCACAATGCAAACGTTTTATTGTTACCACTAAAGGATGGGGTCCATACAATCGTTAACAGTTTTTTCTTCATTTTAGGTCAAGTCACTCCGTCAACCTTCATTTTTGCATTTGTGGCCGACACTTGTGTTGTGGGCTTTCTCTTCTGTTTTGCTTTTCTCGTCTTACATTGTTCTCTTCTACATTCTGGAGCTACAACCAAAGAATGGTTTGGTGGTCATGCACGTGCTTATGACCATGGCTGGAAGACGAATGTCAGAAACTTTTTGGGAGAGCGGTGGTACCTTATCTGGGTTTCTCCTTGGATAGAATCACAGTTAATTGGTGATGGGATTCATTTTACAGCTAGAAACATTGTTCAACCCAAGTCATCTCATCTTTAACTGTCATGTATGGGATAACAAGACATCCCATTTATAAAATGGTAAGTGAACTAGTTTCTCTAATGCCATTGGCCCCATACTCCTACAAAGGCTGGCAAATGGAACAATTGTTGCCCTGAGCCACTAGCACGGGAGGGCTGACAAGAGGAGCATTGGCTGCAGCCTCACACCCTTCTTGTGCAGTTTAAAATAGCAAATTTCAGATTTCAGAAATTTCAGATTAATAATAGTTTTGACTTTGCTGGCACAGGGAATGTTTGTAAAGCATGCAGAGACCTCTGCAAGTGATCTTTCACTCTACGTAGGTCATATTGATTGAGGTTGCAGGAATTTATGATGTCAGAACCTGCAACTTAAAGGACCGCTATAGGCACCCAGACCACTTCAGCTCAATGAAGTGGTCTGGGTGCCAGGTCCATCTAGGATTAACCCTGCCTGCTGTAAACATAGCAGTTTCAGAGAAACTGCTATGTTTACATATGGGTTAATCCAGCCTCTAGTGGCTGTCTCATTGACAGGCGCTTCCACGCTTCTCACTGTGATTTTCACAGTGAGAAGATGCCAGCGTCCATAGGAAAGCATTGAGAATGCTTTCCCATGGAGTGGCTGAATGCGCGCGCAGCTCTTGTCGCGCATGCGCATTCAGCCGATAACGTCAGAAGGAGGAGGAGAGTCCCCAGCACCAAGGGAGCCCGGCGCTGGAGAAAGGTGAGTGTTTAACCCCCTTCCTCCCTCTTCAGCCTGGCGGGAGTGGGACCGTGAGGGTGGGGGCACCCTCAGGGCATTATAGTGCCAGGAAAACGAGTTTGTTTTCCTGGCACAATAGGGGTCCTTTAATTTGTCATTTTCATATGTTGTGTGTTTCGTATGAGATCTGAGTCTCAAGACCATTCGGTCTCTGAATCTCAAGACCATTGCCAGCTATCCTCTGCCATACATATTGTTTATAATATAAGGTAGCATGGGCAATAAAAAAAAAAAAATGTCAAGTTGGCTTCCAAATAGATCTGTATCTTTTTTTTGTTGTCCTGCAGAACAGACTTCCTAGTTAATGGAGATATGCACATGTCCCAGAGATAAGACCATCATATCATACTTAAAAATGTATACTTTCTTCTTTTTCAGATTTTGATTGAAAATCCGCAGCTGAGAATTTGTTTTTGGGGACATCCATTAGACAGCTGTATATAAGTTAAATATTGTTTCATATGTACAGAAATATGGTACTCTATTGTGTGTCTGTGTGCATACATACTATAAATAAGGAGTAAACTTTTTTATATAATCCTTCCAAAGAATGTCTTAATTCATGCCTTCCAAACAGAATACACATTTCACTTTTATTTAGATAGATATTTGGCACTTTGAATTGAAAGAGGCTGTTCAGTCTGCTTGGCAAAACCTTTTGATCAACACAGTTGCACATTATCACAATGATTTTTTTTTAAATGTTTATATTTCCAAGCAGAAATGACAAAAATCACATCTGTCATTGAAAGGAACACTCCACTCACCCTGATCACTGCAGCTCAAATGGTTTGACAACTTATCTGGAGTTTGCCTACGCCATATCTGCCTTCCTTGGAGCTGAAAGCTCCTGCAAAGAGCTTCATATAGCTCTCCTGAGCTAAACCCTGGAATACAAGGCATCAGCTGAAAGCTCTCAGCCAATGAGTGCGGCCTTGCACCACTGGGAAGAAACTTCCAACCTCAGAGGAAGCAGTAGCAATTTCTTAGCAGACTCCAGGCATGTTGGCAAAATGTTGTTACGGCACATTGCCCAAATTAAAAAAATAAATATATATATCATTATTTAGCAAGTGTACCCCTAGTGAAAATATGTAAACACAAAGAGGAAACTGATGGTGAAGTACGTAAAGAATAGAGTAAGGTGAGTGTAAATAAAATTATATGCATTCACACTTTATAGGAGTTTAGGTACAGCTCCAACGTCTAAGTTACCCTAACTTTCTTTTTTTATTTGATGTATATCTAAAAACAACTTTCAAAAGATACAGATCTCATGTCTGCGACCTTCTGTCCAATCACCGACTTCTTAATGCAGCTCAATGAGAAGTCTATACAAGGCAGTTTAGTTCTAGTGAGACAAACAACCAGGAAGTAACAGGACCGATTGTCTGACAGCCAGGGGAGTGTAACAATGTTAACCCCTTAATGACAGCGGGCATGCTATGCCGTCCGCTTTAAAAGCCAGCGGGCGGCATAGCACGTCCACGCTGTCCAGGGGACTTACCTGCATTTTTCACACACAAATGGCACTAACACTGACAATATAATTATTATACGGTTTTGACACACTGATATTTGTGTTCAGCAAAGTCTTCTGAGTATAACAGTACCCCTCATGTACAGGTTTTATGGTGTTTTCAAAAGTTACAGAGTCAAATATAAGGCTTGTGTTTCAGTTTTTTTCACATTGAAATTCGCCTGATTGGTTATGTTGCCTTTGAGACCATATGGTAGCCCAGGAATGAGAATTACCCCCATGATGGCATACCATTTACAATAGTAGACAACTAAAGGTATTGCAAATGGGGCATGTCCAGTCTTTTTTAGTAGCCATTTAGTCACAAACACTGGCCAAAATTGGAGTTCAATTTAGTGTTTTTGCATTTTTCACACACAAACAAATAACGCTATCTTTGGCCAGTGTTTATGCTGAAGACACACTTTTCACACATAAAGCCCCTTTAGCATGCTAAAGTGTTTTAAGTGTTTGAAGTATTCCTTTAAGCAGTTTGACTATTCATGTGGGATGGCAATAGTACATTATTGGCACCATAACCACTACAGTAGTGTATTATGTAGCTTGAAGTGTTCATTAAACATCTGTGTGCACTTTGGGGGGGTATCTTTGATGCCAATATTTTGCATGTAAGATAAATGCTAAACTGTTTTGGAATGAATATGTTACCAACTAGTGTCCCTGGTGTTTATAAGCTGTCAGCTATGTTTTCAGTTCAGCTGTTTGGCTCTAGTATGATGTGATGCTATCTATAAATTAAACATTATAAATCCACCGTATTTGTACACCAGCGGTGAGGACAATCTTGAGTGCTGGCTATTCTTAGCTGTTTTTCAGAAGCTGTCAAACTGCATCCTGCAGATTAAGAACAATGCAGGGAGTTCAGGACAGGGAGGTAATTTATTTAGAAGTCTTACCATAGGCATCACTGAACTCTGCAATCTATGACTGCATTCCTATTTTTTTCCCCAGAAGACATTAACAGTTTTTTTTCAAGGGAAAATAGCCTGCCAGAGGCTTCTCAATGGAAAGCCTCTGGAACTATCATCTGTGCACACTCACCATGCTGGTATGATCGGAGGTCTGTGAAGAAGTTATGGGCGAATGGAGAGGTGGGGGCTATTGACAGCCAGGAAGTGTTTCATTATTTAGAAAAGTGCCTTTGAAATGGGATACTCCTCACCCATATAGAATTCAGCAAGTGCTTCGTGGGTGTGGAGGTGTCCTGTACCAACTGGAGTGTGAAAGATAGAATTAAACGTAGAAATATACAACTGGGTGCCTCCATCTTTGCTACATGTCAGTCATTCTTATAAGCTCTGTCTTTAGGCACTCAGCACAGAGAAAGCATGCAAGGGGGAGGAGAAGTGAAAACATTAATTCTATTTTTCTTGCTCATTTGCATTGTTTGCCCTGGCTTTACCTTGTCTGTACTTACTTATGGTGTCATTTGCTAAATCTTTATTATACAATTTAAAGAAAAACGTGTCTCTCACAAAAAAAAAAAATTAACAAAAGTGTTTTTAGTGGTGTATTTTCCAGGGAAGTAACAATTCCCCTTAAAGTATTTTTCATCCTAAAATGTCAGCACATGTGAGCACTCAATGTGCACTTCCTTTCAGGACGAAGAGGAGCTCGGCCACCCACTCTGCACAGGGAAGGGGAGGTGAGAAGAGAGGCACTGCGGCAGCCGTCTGAGCGCTCTCTTTATAGCGCTCAGGCGGCTGCAGCATTAGAAGGGGTGGCGATGGGGGCGCAAGGCGCCCCCGGCAGCCATAAAGACCCTATACCCGGCGTATAAGACGACCCCCGACTTTGGAGAAGATTTTCCAGGGTTAAAAAGTCATCTTATACGCCAGAAAATACAGTAATATAAAATATATAAGAACAATAAAACAACAAATAGCAGCTAGATACAATAGAACCTTCCCAAGTTCCTAAAATAACAAGTACAAAAATTAAAAAGTATCAGCGCTTAGGCGATCCTCCCCTTCTAAAATAGATTTGGGGGAAAAAGCATTAAAAAAATAATTTATTGATTAGTGAGAGTCCCAAAGTTGAAATTGGTGTTAAAGAGATATATTCCAATTATATCCATTAATCAGTAATTTTATTTTTTTAATGCTTTTTTTTTCCCGATCTATTTTAGAAGGGGAAGATCGCCTAAGCGCTTATACTTTTTAATTTTTGTACTTTTTTTTTTGGTGTCGTGAGGTTTAGGTTGTTTTTCTTTCTAGCTGCTAAGTAAAATATATATTTTTTAATGTTAATAAACACATGTAAACATTTACTTGACTTAATGTGTGTGGTTATCTGAAACCCATGTGTCTATGTGCAGAGAAAATAGTGTCCCTGACTTACTGAAAGTGAAACATAGCATTTAGATACTATCCGGTATCTTGCTATTTGCAAATTCAGTTGTGAAAATTCAAAAATTATCTTTCGTAGTTTGCTGGGTGAAAAAAATCGTTTTGATAAAGAGAACTGGTTCCTTCTGTACCACAAATAGTTTGAGTATAAATATTATAAATAGTTTAAATATATATATATATATATATATATATATATATATATATATATATATCATTTACTTATCTCACTATGCTAATTTGCCCACCATTTAGTGAAGACCTGTGTTTCTAATGGTATTGTGTTCCTATCCATATTTCTATGGGTCCACCTTTCCCTGGTGAGTAAAGGGCAAGAAAGAAAAAACACACCCCTTTTTTTATTTAACTTAATTCTAGTACAGAGGCTTCTTCGCCACTTGTTTCTGCTCCTCTTCTTGCCAAGCCACGCCGATGAGGGACCTAATGCACATGCATGGCAAAAGAACATTAAAGCTCCCCTCTAGGAAATTATTGCATTAGTGCTTTCATATGGGGAATTTGAAGACATTGGATGTCATTATACTGAGTTATCTTCAGTTGCAAGCAGGAACCACTTCTAGTTGTTGTGTGGAAGACTTAACCCTACTGTGGCAGGTTTAAAAGACCACTATAGTGCCATGAAAACAAACTCATTTTCCTGGCACTATAGCGTCATTAGGCAACCTCCACCCCCCACCCTCAGGGCCCCACTCCCGCTGGGCTGAAACATAGAAACATAGAATGTGACGGCAGATAAGAACCATTCGGCCCATCTAGTCTGCCCAATTTTCTAAATACTTTCATTAGTCCCTAGTCTTGTCTTATAGCTAGGATAGCCTTATGCCTATCCCACGCATGCTTAAACTCCTTTACTGTGTTAACCTCTACCACTTCAGCTGGAAGGCTATTCCATGCATCCACTACCCTCTCAGTAAAGTAATACTTCCTGATATTATTTTTAAACATTTGTCCCTCTAATTTAAGACTATGTCCTCTTGTTGTGGTAGTTTTTCTTCTTTTAAATAAGAAACTCCTTCAGCCACTTACCTTTCTCTAGCACCGTGCTCCCTCGGCACTGGTGACCTCTCTTCCCCCTGCCGACGTCAGATCCGCATGCGCGGCAAGAGACACGTACGCATTCAAACCGCCCATAGGAAAGCATTACTCAATGCTTTCCCATGGACGTCCAGCGTCTTCTCACTGTGATTTTCATAGTGAGAATTGTGGAATCACCTCTAGCGGCTGTCAGTGAGACAGCCACTAGAGGCTGGATTAACCTTCAGTGAAACATAGCAGTTTCTCTGAAACTGCTATGTTTTCAGCTGCAGGGTTAAAATTAGAGGGACCTGGCACCTAGACCACTTCATTGAGCTGAAGTGGTCTGGGTGCTTATAGTGGTCCTTTAAGGGGACAGGAATACTTCACCCAGATCACTTCAATGAGATGAAGTGGTTTGCGTACCTATAATGTCCCTCTAATATCCTTCCACAATGCAGAAGAGACCTGAAATTAAGGAAGAGTGAGATTAAGTCAGAAGAGTGACTAATTATCACTCGTAATAAAAGAGAATTTATTTTTTATTTTTTGTAGAAATAATATATTCAATTATAATACTACTAATCTCTATAGCACATTTGGAAAGTATAAAATGTATTTTATTTATATCAATAACGGACAGGCAACCTCTTCATTCTATAATAGAACCCAACACAATGTAATGTCAGTTATAGTAAACTATAAAAGAAATAAAATTTTATGTTGAGAGCCAATAAACTAAGTTTAATCAATATTAAAGCATTTGTATATACTTTTTGTATTTTTATTACTGGTCAGTTTTTACCCAGTAGGCCATCCATCTGGTTCGAATGCAAATGGTTAATTTGACCATTGCGTAATTACAACAGCACATTTAAGAATTTGTTTTCCTCTGCACCTTTATTTAAGATAAATTTCATGGGGGGAGGGAGGGGCGCATTTGCCCTGTGTAAATTCATGAGTTTGAATTTGTGTGTTTTAATTCACGAGTTTGAATTCAGCAGTTTTAAGTCGCTTAAATATATATATAAATGTTTGTCCTGAGGAAAGTTACCATGTTGAACTGAAACGTTGGTGTGGTTTTTTTTTTTTGGTTTTTTTTCCAAGTAAAGCATTGTTTTTTGAAAAACCTGGTGTGCTGATTTTTTTCCCTGTGTGTTTGTGTTTACAAGACTTATTGTCATTTTTTTTCTATGCAAAATATTACTATGTGATTAAAAGACAATTGTCACCAATAAATTTGTTTTTTGTTTTCAGATAAGTGGTATATGTGTTTTCTTCTCTGTTATTGATTTCTTGTTTTTACATCCTGTCATAATGCTGGAAAATAAATGTTCTACTTCTAACTTGCACTGATTTTAAACAAACATTTTAAACACAGTTTTAACAAAAATTACCGTTGTGGCATTGTTTTTTTATTTTTAGCAGTTTCAATTAAATGCATTTAAAACACATATATATCTGTGTACATGCACACATTCTAGATTCAATAAGGGAGATTAAAAAGCTTTTAAATATGGATATAAACATGGAGGGAAGGATGGGAAGAGAACAATGGAGTAGGGAGAAGCTCCAAGTTAACATTTTTTTTGAGTTGTGTGAATAAACCTGAGAGAAGTCATAATTTCACAGATATAATTTATCTCTGAGTTTGAGTAGTACCACTCAACAGTTCAGTGGCTATGGGATGGCATACTCTTCTCACAAAACCTCCCTGGGCTTGATTTTATAGGGTACCATAACAACCAGTACGCCTCATCAAGCTGCAGTTCCTTCCAGAACAGGTGCTCGAGTACTAGCACCCTCTGCTCTCCCAGGAACTGCATCCTGTTTCTGCCAGCGTAGCTCTCCGACTTGGGAGGCTCTCTCCACTGAGACTGGGTTTCCTCCAGGTCCCCCTTACCAGAGTTCTTTACGGATTGGATATCTCCAGTTCAGCTCACTCTCCTCTGAGGGAGGGCCATAATCCTGGGACAGAGCTTCTTGCAGTCTCCACTGGAACTTCTTGTATGGGGACACTGCTCTCTTCATCTTTGCGAATTCCAGGAGGCATGCTGAGATCCCAGAAGTGTCAGCTGGGTACCGGGACATTTCATCAGTTACTAGGAAGTCATCCCACCACTGTACTCCCACAGAGTACCTCCGCCCAATCTGCTTCCTAGATGTTGAGCAGGGAGCCTGGAACACTTCAGCCCTAGTCACTGAAGTTTCACTGGGGTCTTTCCAGAACTCTTCCACCCAATCAAACTCTTCTTCCAGGCAGGTATCATCCTCTCTGCCACTCTACTTATAGTGATTGCTCCTGTATTTACAAAGACACTTGCGGTTCTCAGGCCTAGCTCAGATCCAAAGATTCTGTTACTGGGTTTACTAAAAATTCACACAGGACACACAGTTCCAAACTGAACTAACTTACAAAACTTTGTTTTATTTTTTTAACTAGGACTAGTCTTTGGGGACTAGTATTTAAACATATGGTGACAACCATCAAAATATTAACAACATACATAATGTGGAGAACAAGCAACATAATGTCTCAAATATATAACATTGTTAAAACTTTCCAAACAATTGGAATACAAAGATATATCAATGCAACATGTAAGTTTTTACAACATCCTAATTTCCATATTGCTATTATGCCAACAATGCATTTTTCGATTTGACCAACAGAGGGCAATGGAGAGTCATAAGAAGCCTAAAAGAATTCCCTTTTAAAACAAGGATACCCCAACCTTGCAAACCCAAAACAGGAGGGAAAGCAGTCCAAATGGCACCCATGTACCTGACTCCCCAAAACAGAACCCCATTCTAGACCAGGGCCCATAGTCAGTGGGAAAGAGGCTGACTTGCAGTCTTCTCCAAGTACCATGGTAATGGAAGATGTAAAGTAAAATCACACAAAATGAATCAATAGTATATTATGTTCAATGTAAAATTGGATTGCTAAGTCTGGAAAAAAAGTATGCAACAACTAGAGAAAGTGCTAGTGTGAGTACTGACGGGGTGATATGTGGGAGGAGCTAGAAGTCAAGAAGATGAGTCTAGTGGGGACATACATTTTGAATTTTTGGGGTGCAATCTGAAATTGAATGAGGCATATGAAACTAATTTTGCAGTAGTTAAGGCAGAAGAAAACTGAAATATGAACCACATTCTAGTTTCTTAAGGCCTTAGGAGGGGTGGATGATACAAGCTATGTTTGAAAACTGACTGGATGTAGCTTGTGAGGTAGAGCACCTTTGACCTGAAGGGATGCTGACAAAGAAGGATGACTGCTTGATGTAAGCAAAACAAGAATTTCCATTTTGATAGTTTCTGAAAATTGTGCATAGTCATTAAGTCAGCAATGGGGGAGAGACAGCTGGTGACATGATCCAGAAGGGAAGGAGAGATTGTACCTTGTTAGATAGACCTGGTTATCTTCAAAATAAAACTGACATACAAAAGAACTGACCAGAACACACAAACAAGCAGTGTAGCGTGAGAAGAGAATGTTACTTGGAATAGAACCTTTGAGAATGTGACATATACAAACATTGACATGCGCAGTCAGACACACAATCACACACAGTAACAACATAAATAATTGCACGATTATACACACAGTTAATTACCTATATAAATACACACAGATGAACAAAGTCAAACAAACATACAAAGTCACGCAGAAAACCAGACACACAGAGTCAGGTACAGTTGCACAGTAGTCAGGTGCACACATTCAGACACATACACTGTGTGACATACAGTTACATACACATGCCAACAGTCATACATATAGTTACAGGCATTCACATACAGCTACAGGCACACACAGACACCTCACACATTATCACAGTCACAAACATAGTCACTGCTACAAGGACACAATGTTGCAGGCATACACATAGTTCCAGTCACACACACACAGACACCAAATTTACCTCCTTGGTCCTACCTTTATGTGCATTGGTGGCTTTGGATAAGCAGAGACTGGAGCACATAACCTGGTGCCTAGATGTTGGGGAAGCAGGGACTGCTTTCTGCATCTCCTCTGCAAGCAGCCATTTTTAGGAAGGCATGAATGGGCCGCTAGAGCGAGTATTCATGGCTGCTGCTTTAGTTGGAGGCAGACCAGGCACACCTCTCCTTCTGGCATCTGGGGTACATGCTCCCCCAACCCCTCTAATTTCACCAGAGTGCCTCATGACCCATTCATGTTTGTAGGTTAAAAAAAGCTGAAGTTCAGTAAGTTTAGTAAGTTTATAAAATATCGGAACACAAAAGTGGTGAAGAATACATACAACATGGATCATTGAGCAATGGAAACGAGATAGAGCCTGATCATTATTATACCCTAATTGCATCCTGAATGGTTTCTTACTGGAGAAAGGTAAAAGATGCTGTAACGGATCGCCTGGCACCCCGACTGGGTACCTCCGTTGAAGCATGCTCCTAGCGCTTCCTGAGGACTCCAAGCACTCTGGCAGACACCACAATCACCGAACCGGAGAAACAAATAAATTCTCCCAAGCATATGAATGCTGTAGACAGCTGTTGGACTTTGACCTTTTTAATTTTTTATAATTGTTTATACTGGTGCTTTATGCTATATTATATTATTATTCCCTTTTTTTCTTAATAACAGTGTGCTTTTATTATTATTCATTACCCTCTATTTATCTGTGTATCGGGTCTATTTTATTTATTTCTCATTTCATTTCATTTTATTTTATTAGCTACCATGGCTTAATCAATCTATTTTTATTTTCATATGGAGTCTGTATGTTTATATATGTTTCACTATTTCACCCTGCCCCTATCCCCCATCACTAGACTATTTAACTCCTTTGCCTTTAAGTAAAATAGCTGCCTACGTATTCATCCCACTTCCCTGCATCTATTTTCTATCCCCCTTATTGTTCCTACGAGAAGAGTGATTACAATCACTCCCTCCTACTTTCGGCCGCTTAGGACCGCCCCCTCTTCCCTCTGATCACGTCCTGCAAACGGACGCGATCATAACTACACTCCCCACCCTGCCCTGCGGTGCTCACGGCAATCTGCCGGCTCCGCCCACCTCCTGTCACTCTAAAACTCCCTCTCAACCCACTCCCACGGTTAAAAATGGCCGCAACCTCGCGACCTTTCACCCTCAAGTTTAAAGCTTAAATGCTTACCTTTACTTTCACCATAAGTCACTTTTCCTCAGTGAATAAAGGTTCTGCATGGGATCCAAACGTCCCCATATATAATATATTGGAAAACGAGCATTATTTACTGTTTTACTTGTTCTATTGTTCTAGTGTGTGTAAAAAAAATAAAATAAATAATAATCATGTGACCGCAGTAATGCGGCAATGACGTCATTTTGGCGCCAATCTTCAAATTTTATGCCATTTTACTTGCCTATAAAAGGTGAATAGCCAGGATCAGTTGTCTACACTTGATAAAGCCTGTTTTTTGGCGAAACGCGTTGTGTTTTTATGAGAAGCCAATAAAAGTATTTTGCACACTTAGTTTTATTTGTTGCTGCTTTATCCTGGCTGATTTTTTTTATCATTTTAAAGATCCAGTACTACAAAAGAAATCCCTGGTGGGGATTATTCCACCTACCCCTGGTTCATAGAGCAGTGTGGCTGCTCTGAACACTGTAAGTACGTTTCATTTTACCTTTCACTGCTATTTTTTATACGGTAAACACTATGGGCCCTCTCTTGTGATTTTATTTTTCATAAGACCGGCACTGCAAGCATCGCTAGAAGGATATCCTACATGTGGGGAGTTTCAAATACCACTGTATGCTGTTTTACTCAGAGCTGGTTATAGCTCTCCCAATTGTAAGTTGGCACTCTTAGGACCTCAGTGTTTGTTTGTAGTTGCAGTTAACCTACATTATTGCACCATTGGGTTTTTCCCCCTTTTATGTATTTTATAGGCTGACGCTTATCTGGAATGCTGTAAGAAGTCTTGAGGATACACCTCCAAGTGTCCAGCTATATCCTACATGTGGGGAGTTTCAAATACCACTGTATGCTGTTTTACCTAGAGCTGGGCATAGCTCTTTATATTGTGAGTTGGCACTTCTCTACTTCTATGTTGTTCGAGATCCAGCTTTCCTAAAACAGTTTTGCACTGTTGGTCTCTGTTTCTGCTTTTGTATTTCATATTTACCACTGAGGATTCAAAGCAAGGACTGAAGAATATACACTCCAGGTCTTCACTGTACTTTAAGAGACTCTTTATATAATTGCTGATTTTTGTTTATCTCTCAT